GGTAATGAGCATCATTACTGATTGCCAGAGTGACTTGCTGAGCAAATTCAAATTGTGCTCTTGTGAGAACTCTGGATTTCCAGGGTACATCGAGACAGGAGTTTAGAAAAATCGAAGAAGCTTAGAGTAGAACCACTGCTCCTTTGAGCCAGTTAGGGTAATTTGAAGGTGGCTTTCCTTGACGCTTACCTCTGAAGGTATCCTAGGCACATTCAACTGGAAGGAGACCACCTGGAAGACTCTGACCTGAATAGGGGGAGTAAAATGGATGAGGGGGTATTGGTTGGTCTGACCATCCGACACCTAGTTCCAGAGCAAGATATGACCGTGTCTGTTGGCTAGATTGACTCAAAATTTGATGTGATAAATGCTCATGCTTTTAGTGACTTCCCTCCATCTACAAGCTAATTTTTAATTTTTTACACAAAACAAAAAATCTAGATGTTTCTGGCAGATTTCAATGGAATGTAATGAGCACATTTAAACTCCTGTTCTTGCTTCAGACTATGTTGTATGGCGTGCCATCCAACCATCAAGTGTTTCTATTTCTGAATGGCCACAGTCAAAGGTAAAGTTAAGATTCTGTAATCACAGACCATGGCTGCATCCCACTGCCTCCCTGATCTCTCTCTGAGAACTCTGGGTCTCTCGCATGTCTTTGTCATTTCAAAGCCCCAAATTGTACAAATGCAAATATCAAGGAACAAAGACAGTATCTCATTAAAGGCATTAATTGAGTTACACTTGGTTCTGCACATAAAACCTGAGGGAGAGGCTCAAACCCTGTGTACTTACACACCTCAGCACATGTTTGTATATAACCCACATAATCATGAAGGCTGCAATCACCAATAAGTTGAGTTGAGTGAAGAAAGATGTACTGCAAAGAGCAAAAATCCATTTAAAGAGGCAGGTTGGAGTGGCAAATGGGTCAAGCAAACATAGGACTTTTTCCCAGGAGACTGATGTTCTTGTTCTGTATGAAACAAAGTTAACTTTGAATTATTTTAAGTTACACTACATTATACTATTATGTTAAGTATGCAACTTTATGTTAAGTACATAACCAGACGATGCGCAAGCATATTAATTTTCCTAAACCTAACCAACATAAATTTACTTAACCTAACTAGCTCTATGTTCAGTACCTTATATGGTATGATGATGCCCAACCATGATTTATTTCCTATTTATTTATAACCTAACCTAGGGGCACTAATTCATGGGGATTTCATACACACCGTTGTATGAGGATAGGTTGAACAGAAATGGGGGTTTAGACACTGTTAGAAAATCTAACAAGCACTTTGTTGAAAGCATATTGAGGCCCTGAGGGGGTAAATCATTTTTATTTTAATGACCTCTGGTCAAATTTAACGCTTTTGTTCTAACTAGTGATAAGATTGGTAAAATTGTCAGTATGTTGTTAGGCCCAACCAGTTTTTTCACATTACAGATTGCATCTTCTAGGGCCCTCTAACAGAGCTCTAGGTTTGCAGTCTTGCTTATTTGGAGGCTTATGTGATTCTTTGTAAATGAGGCAAAACTAATGACCTGTACTGTATTAAATGTCAAACATACAAGGCTGTTGCCTTGAAGATGGCTGGTTTTCTAAATATCTAAGCACTTGACCTTTTGCTGGTACATTGTTTTGATCTGACAGCTGTGTATTGGTCTTTCCTTGCAGCCACCCTCTGACATACAGTATGTTAGCATCCGATCTCAAAGCATCTACTGACACCAAAGTGCTGCTGGCAGGGCAGGACATTGCAGCACACCCAAATTTTTCCCTGTGTGTTTTTGAACTGTTAGTACTGTTCCTTTCTTGTTTGTGAAGGTTGCTGCCGTCAGGGACTATTACTTGAGACATTTATGACCTTTCAGGTCTTGATGCCTCTACAGTTCATTTCCTGCTGTTTTTCTTCTTGCTCAAGTGTGTTCACAAATTTGTGGAAATAGCAGTTGCTCTATGTTCCTTCTATTTTTGCGAAACATAAAAAAATGTTTTAAGGTTTCATACATGTACATTTTATTCTCAGCATCATTGATGGGTGTGGTCAGATGTGTTCTCTGTCCTTTGTACTTCCCAAACAGGCATTTTCACTAAAAAACCTCAGTACTGGAGTCTGGCTTTGAGGAGCATGGATAAATTTCAATTTCAGTTCAGTTTTTAATAGAATGGTTGTAGTGAAAATGCACGTGTTTAGGAAGCATTGAGCATACGACTGGATAAATTCATCTTGGATCATACTGCATGAGTTGCATGAGAGTTTGTAATCGGATGTTTTGATATAGTTTTGCTCCCAGATCAATCATCCATCCATCCATCCATCCATCCATCCATCCATCCATTTTCTAACCGGCAGAGGCAGGGTACACCCTGGACAGGTCGCCAGAATATCGCAGGGCTGACATGTAGAGACAGACAACCATTCATGCTCACATTCACACCTACGGTCAATTTGGAGTCACCAATTAACCTATCCCCAACCTGCATGTCTTTGGACTGTGGGAGGAAGCTGGAGTACCCTGAGAAAACCCACGCTGACACGGGGAGAACATGCAAACTCCGCACAGAAGGGCTCCCACACCTGTGATCGAACCGAGAACCCTCTTGCTGTGAGGTGACAGTGCCACCACACCACGTGCTGCCCCCAGATCAATCAGTAAATCAATATATTAACAATTTTTTGTAGTAGTATGCTAGAAAAACGTTTTTTTTTTTTTTTTTCATCACAAATTCAGGATAACATGGCATGACTAATTGGTATAAAAATGGTCAGTATTCTTTTAGAGTTGGGAGACATTTTCTGTAGTAAGCACAATATGCATCTACTGCATTTACTGTATCATTGTGCATATATCCTGAATCAGACCCACATTGGCTACTGTGGTTTCAGGCTGACATACATTTTCAGGGGAAACCTGAAGGTTACAGTTTCAATGTAGCTGAGTTTTGCTGAATGCACGCGGCTGTGGCTGCCCCTGGAGGACCCGATGGTAACTGGCTCTTGACCATGGCTGTCAGATTTGGCTTGAGATGGGTAGGGAATTGGTTCTGGTTGGGTGTTGGAACAGTTTTTGCAGCCCAGTTGCCAGAAAAAAATTGTTGGCATTGTACATTTCTGCAAACCATGGTTACATTTGTACATTATAATTTAGCTGATACATTGAAACGTTTAAACAACTATGTTTTTAAGATGTCATTAGGTTCAGGCCCAAAAAACACTCTATTATGGTTTTAAGTTTTGACTTAAAATACCCGATTTTGTGGACACAGTCCCCGCTGGAGAAACACTGACAAGTCGCTACAAAACACCCACATTTGGTGCCTAAAAAGCAGCTGGAAACACAGCAATACCTCACTAAATCACGACCAGTGTTGTTTGCTGGTCTCGAACAGTGCTCTGTAGTAGGGATGCACGGTATTCGATTTTTATATCTGATATGTGATATCTGATATGCTGATATATAATAACCAATATCAATATATTCACTTTTTTCCCCACCTAATTTTATTGATCATCAAGTCTCTTCTGCAGTGGAATTAACATCATATTATGCATGCATACACTTACTGTGATGGCCCACCAGCAGATGGAGACAATACTTTTCAATGTATGTAATGTTCATTCATTGTGCAAAATAAGAAAAGATGTTGGCCGATTCTGATTTTAAAGCCAGTAGTCATCTGCAGCTTGGAAGGCTAGGTGTCACCAACACGCTCTCATCCCAAGTCATCACATATTGCAGCTTTGTCAGCTGACTTTCACGTCTATGAATTACTCCCTAGATATCCTCTTGTATCTGCTGTTGACTTCAAGAACAACTAACCAATGTGAAAGTTATAAAAAGCACTTGCTTAGGTTTAGGTTTAGAAAAAAACATCAAGGTTTGGCTTTACATTCATACAGGAAGCAAACACCGGGCTCCTGGGTGAAAGTCTGGGGTTTGTTGGTCCCAACCACCACCCCTCCTGCCTACCCTATAGGGACTTTTAAGCTCCTTACATTACGTCATTACTGGCAACTGACACCGTCCTGTGGCGTATTATACTGCCGTGACAGGTGCTGTCCAGTTGTGTTATGAACTGACCTCCTGTTGACCTATTATACTGCTGTATTAGGTGTCATCCTGCCTACTGGCAGCTATCACATCACGTGGCTTTTTGCGTTGGTGTCTGACACCAAATTCACTGATATAGCCGTGGTATTTGATGACTTCAGAATGGCTGGTGTCACGCCATCCATCATCCCCCCCACTTCCTGATGATAAAGTCAGCTCATATAATGTGTCACTTTAGAAACGGTGAGATGAAATGTATGAACCACACAAATGTAATGTATCGTTTGCAGAAACCTAGGATGCCATAATTTTCTTCTTGCAGTGGGGCTGGATTTTGCCGATTAGTTAAGCTTCATCAGGCTGGCAAATGCAGAGTTACATCAGATTTTGAAGTGTGGAGCTAAGGCAGTAGTTGCAAAGCTTTTTCTGTCTTTATAAGCTGAGAAAATGTCTTGCCCCCAACACATAAAATTACTGCATTTATTTTGGTAGGCCTACCTATACTGGCAGGAGCAAAAGCAAGGAAACAAGTCGAATTTTATTGAAACAACGTTATTAAAAACTGTCTGCATGTTTCTTTTCATGAATGTTTCTCATTAGTTTCAGTTGCACGTTCTACTTAAGGCCTTTAAAGGACTTGGCAGGCTCTGGATATTTGTGTAGTCATTAAAGTCCATCTTTTGCCAGGCTTCTTCTCTTCTCTTTGTTTTCATATTTAATTAGCCGAAATTCATTAATTCAAGTGACTATGACACCTACCCGTTAATGTCATTCCACAGGCTTTTTTTATGCAACTTGCACAGTTGATTTTCGTCGAGCGCAGCGGTGCGCACTAATGAATACCACATTACAAGGAAACGAACGCTTCCCTACCGGCAGACCACTCCGCCTCAGTATTTATCCGTCAGTGTGCTGTGCTACAGTAAGACGCTGCTCTTTGTACAGTGTGCTCTCAGGTTAGTCTCTGGGTGAGCTGTGGGGACTCCCTGTCGGAGGAGCTGACGGAATGGACGGACAGTAAACCCACTCATCTCTCTCTCTGCTACTCTCATTTTCCGCCCAAGGCTTGTTCATCTCCACTGTGTTTAGCCACTGACCAATCTCTCTAGGAAACCCCGGGGACACCTGTCGCGTTTCAGGTAGGCAGAATCATTCGATAATGGCACTTAATTGGATGGGTTCTCCAAAAAGGGGAAAAAAAGCTGTGCAGAAAGCTTAATGTTTAGGCTGTGTTTGGATGGGGAGTTGGGGATTATCTGAACTGATCAGAACCCCAGTGTGAGGAAACAAAGCCGTTGTGATGTCTGTCTTTATCGGTGTGGAGTCCGTTTAATTGCAACAACTGTAAGGTGCTTCCTTTGTGCCGCGCTACCGTGTAATTACGCGCTCTGACAGCGTTTCCCGTCTTGTTTGCAGGCTTCAGCAATGAGAGGACGATGGAGCTCACATTCCATGCCTATATTGGTCTGTTTGATCATACTGTGGCAGACACGGTAAGTTTTATGTCTACGATATAGCCTATGTTTTTATAAATCAACAGAAAAAAAATAAAATAAAAAACACTACCGCGCGGACGGAAGCCTGACCGCGCGCACAGGCAGCGCACACGGCTCTCTGGCTTCCGACCTAAAGGCTGTTTAACGGGCTGTTATGTTAAGCAGCAGTGACGGCTACTACAAGTAGGCAGCTTCCTACCTTATTGAACCGTGTTAACATAAGGATTTATTATAACACGTCCTTTGAGCGCTCAGTTCATTTCCACGCTGAACGCGCAACACAGAACCACGTTGATAAATCTAACAATGTAATAATTATTAGCATATCAGAGAAATATCACGCTTGTATGCAATCCCTTAAGAGTCGTTAGGACGTGTTAGTAAGTTCGGCTCTTTGAAGCATCAATTTATTCATATAAATCTCAACTTTATGAATCCGTCGCGTGCAGCTTGACGGAGGGCAGACCGTTTCCAAAAGTTGAAATCCTAATCGATATTAAATCAAGCATCAAATTAGACCCCTATTAATCTGCATAGTATTAAACAGGGTTTCTAGGAAACCTGGAGGAAGGCTACTATGCAAGAACAGAACATGCTGAGACAATGCAAAGTAAAATGATCCAGGTTATCAACCATCAAACGGAACATATGCCCAATGTTCTGTGGAAATTCATTTACCATTTTATTTGTAACCCTCAAAAAGAAAGAACAGGAAATTCACACTGAGACTTGTGTGTTTAAAAAGGCAGCAAGAGACACATATTGTCACAATTCTCTCTCCCAGTGCATTGCAATCCTGATTTTTTTTTAATCATAGATAAGGCAGTACATTACTGTGCTAAATTCTTGTTTTTAAGTATTATTCCCCTATTATAAATGGTTAAAGTATACAATCTATGACAAGCTGCCCTACCGGTGGGTAAAATGTGACTCCATGCGCCCACACTGATTATGAAAATATTCATAATGTAGGCATTAACTAACTAACCAGTCTGGTGCTAACTAATATTATAATTGATCGAGAAACAAAGCTGGAAGTTTGGGGGGAAATGGAGCACAGAGTTCTGCAGCACTTTATAAATGTGCTGTGTTTTATTTCAAAATTGCCAAATACTGCTTACCAACACTGCACTGGTACAGATAATAACAAAGATTATGATAAGCAAACAACATATTACCTCTATAACTACAGGGAAAGTTTATGTTGATTGACTGATTGATTGATTTTTTTTTTCAATTTTGTATCATACACACACATGTGCCCAACCCTCATGGGTTTGTAAGACACCATTACAATGACATCACAGTGACAATCCAAAGTACATGTTACCTTACTGCTCAGTCCTCAAACAAAATACTCTGCCTTCTGTCAGGCCTGGCAAAGAGATTCAGGCACAAAAAAGATTCCCCTTCTGAAACAAGATCATCCGACCAAAAGAATTCAGCATAAATAGAGGTAATTTTACTGAAAAGTACATCCCTTATGTCTTCATATACAAGACGGTAAAACAAGACATGAATCTCATTCTCAACTTCACCTAAATTACACAACAAACAAATTCCGTCCTCCTCTGAGGTGGCGTTAAACCTTCCTGTTTCTAAGGCTGATATGTACCAAGGTTCCTCAGCGTAACTGTGCACACAGGGATATTTGTCTTTTGTTTAGCTTATACTTCACCTAAAGTTCCACACTGTAGCTATTTTTTATGAGACAATAAGTTTGTAGTTTTGTTTATACCATACCATACCATACCATACCATACCATCTAACAGACCATTTTTCTCTGAACATGCGAAACATTTCACTCTTATAATATCCTGAATATCACAGTCTATTCCAAAGCTGAAGCTTTTGACATTTATGTCTGGTGTCTGGAGGTTCCCGTTCCATATCTCCACTGAAGTAAATTCATGGATACCCAGGAAGGAAGGATCAAATTGCTCTATAATGCACTGTGTTACAACTGTTCTGTTTTTGGAAACCCCAAACACCGGAAGCATAGTCAGACACAGGACATGCACACGAACTGTAGAGTTGTGAAAAAGCATAGAATCCTAGATTGCCACATTGTTGAACTTTGTAAAGTACAGATCCTAGTGCTCTACCTGCAAATTAAGCTAGAACAGTGTGTTGTTACATTGGAACACACAAAAGTCAAGGGAACATACTGCAGACTTACAGCCTGAATGTTACTGTATTGCAAAGTGGGCTTACTCTTACAGCATTGGGTACAACATTATACATAGAGGGGACTTCAGCAACCTGAGGTGATGCAGGTTTACATGGATTGACAGTGTTGTCACACAGGGTGCTGTTTGTTGTTGTTGTAGTTGTGACCATCTGATGGCCAAGGAAGTTGTAGAAGGTGATTGATTGTATGTCCTCTCACTATGTAACAGTCATGAACTGTAACAAACAAAATCATTTAAAGAGGCAACAGATAGGATTCTTTTTTTTTTTTTTTTTTTTAGCTTGGCGCCACCTAGCGTCAGTGGTGTTGCTCGCACTGTTGCAACGACCAAATTGACAGTGGGGATCAGAGATAATCAATAATATGACTCTAGTAGACTCTCAATATTAAATAAAATGTAGGCTGTAAAGCCACCAGTATACCTCTCTGTTGTGTAGAATGAGAAGGTGTGTGGACACAATACTAAATAAATGAGTAAAGAGACCGAGCAACAATTATCATATTAATCTGAAGAAAAAACAAATAGTAATGCAAATAATTATAGCAGAATGCACAGTACCAGTACAAACAACTCACAGTAAATTATACCAATATGTACAGTATCAGTACAAACAGTAGACACAGTGGAATTATACCAATATGCACATGTTATGTGATTCTAGAATAAACGGTACCGTATGGAAACGATGCGGCTGGTTGGAGCTCAAATTAAATGGGAAACAAAGTTCAGTGTTCATTTAGCTGGGCGTAACTTAGCTGGACGATGTCCGTTGATAGCTGCCTCCGTGAGAAGAGAACAGAAGGAAGGGAGGGGGGTATCACTGTCCGAGGGCCAAGCCAGTACAATGAAGTCCTCTCTCGTCTAGCTAACATTTAGCCGTGTTACTTACTGATCCATTAGAAAGAAAGCTAGCTGGACATTGGTTTTTGAAGCCTCTTTGGTCACGGAGCTCCCTCCATCTCTTGAACACCTGACTGAGGTTTACTCTTGTTTTTCCTCTTCTTTTATCACTCTCCTTTTTGCTCTTCTTTGCCTCCTCAGACAGAGGAGCTCATTTTCTTTTGGGAGGCCGTTTTTCACTTATCTCCAAACTTTGTCCGTCTGCCATTGTGCTCCTGACTCAACTATCTCATGCACCGGCCAGTTCCTCATAAAGACCAGCTCCAGTCCCTGTTTGGCTGACCGACCAATTTCACAATACATGATGCGTTTCCTGCCGTAAAGCAGATTTTTTCTGCGAAATTTCGGCACCGGTGGCAGAAGCTTATTACAAAGCCACTCAGTAGCCTATGTAAATGCTGATAGTCTGATTTTAGGGATGCACCGATCCACATTTTTTCACTTCTGATCCGATCCCGATACCTGAATTTGGATATCTGCCGATACCAATACTATTCCAATACCAGAGCTCTGTTTGCATTAATATTATTATTATCATTATTGTTGATTTTATATGAGGCTGTAATAAACTCCTCTCTACAGGCAAGTATGATATGTACATATGTATGCATGTATGTCCCAAAAGGCAACTTGAGGTAAGTATAAGGTCAGAAAAGCAGGAAATCCTGTTCACAGGAAAAATCCCATCCTGAAAACAAATATGCAACTGTAAGGGTTTCAAATTGATTGTCAATATTTATTAAATTCCAAGACAGTGTTAAACTACTAGTGCAATATACACTATTAAAAAACAAAAAGTACCTGTCATATTAATCTGAACAGCACAGATACAAATCAAGTAGACACTACTATATAGTAGTGTTGTCACGGTACCAAAATTGGGACCCACGGTATGATACCAGTGAAAGTATCATGGTTCTGAGTAGTATCATGATACCACAGCGAAAATGAGGCAGATGTGCCTTTTGTCATTTATAAAAAGATAAATCACTTTTCTATAATACATCAATGATATTTCAATGGAATAAATTACTTATTGACTTATTCATACTTCAGAAACAGCATCAATAAGTGATTAACATAGGGGGGATCAAAATAAAATAAATAAATGAAATAAAAATCAACCAGCCACCCTCCTCCCCTGACAAGTAAAGAACAGTCCCTTCATAAGTAAAGAACAGTCCCTAAAGTGCAGTGAAGTTTGTGAACCGTTCCCTGCCACACAGAGAGAAATGTGAACGGCTCGTTTCTCCTCTGACACGCCACATACCTGTGTGCCGCCACAGTTCGGCTGTTCAGGTACTTTTGGGCAATCATGACCAAGAAGAGGACATTATTGGACCTGGAGTCGGACTTCAGAGCTGTTGCCAGTAAGCTGTTCTTGCGCCGCGCAGCACTATGAGCCTCCGCCGTATTTGACAGGAATACATTCCCGTCTGTGTCTGTGACCCCCGTTCAACCCACAACCGACAGGATTTGCCTTTAGTTTCTGCTGCTGGTTGAAATCTGTACTCGCACAGCGTGCTGAATGATTTATTTTGCGCGCACAAAACTATTTTTAGTCGCAAATGCGAGTAAAATGCTCGCACGTAGAGCTCTGTGGAAAACAAATCACTGTAGCATATATAAACAAATCGAACCTACAAGTAAAAATAAATTAATAATAACTTTCACTGCTTAAATATACTCAGTAGCTCAGTTCACACCTGAAATGTCACTGGATACAAACCACTGCAGCAGCATATTGAGTGCCAGGTGGACAGCGCGCGCCGTTATTGGATGCCGCATGGACACTCATGCTCTTGCGATTGGACTTTGATCTTATCCCACAGTAGTGGTACCTGAGGTACCTAGTAATACAGTACTCCAACATTATGGTATCATATGTACTGTCATGTTTTAGTACCTCGGTCAGTGCAACACTACTATGTAGCAATCATCATATCATTCCAGCAGACAACGTGAAAGCACAGACGCGGCTCGTGGATCGGAAATTTCCGCAGGTGGATCGGAAATTTCCGATCCGTGAATTATGTTGGTATCGGAACCCGATACCGATACTGGATCGGATTGGCCCCATCCCTATCTGATTTTACTGTGACCACTACCCTGTGCAACCCACATTATTTTCATAATGATATATTTAGGAAAAGATGCTATCTGTTGCCTCTTTAAAATGATTTTGATACAAAGTATGATATGACGAGCTATGGCTCACAAGCTAATTTTAAAGTCAGCATGGGTGGATGTCATCATACTAACATGTCTCCCCGCTTCCCTCACTTGTTTCCTTTCCTCGCATTTTAGACCTGCCCACAGGAGTTGGGAGTGTAGGAGACAAATAAGACATTGCAAAGACATGCAGGATGTGACTACAGAAATAGTTCCAGCATATATGTACCTTTTCGTAAAAGCACAAACTAATGTAATTTTTACGTTAAAGTTGAGAGGAAATGAAAAATGCCTTTTTAATCCTTTTAGATCATATCCCTGGCCATATCGTGCACCTATTTAACAATATATGCCAAAAAATACAAAAAATCTCTTTCTTCATATTCTCATGTCAAAATCCAATCATGTTTTCTTCCTGTTAAAAAATCATGTGTCAGTAAGATAGTAAACCAGTACCAACCAATGATATCACAACATCCATCCATCAAACTGTCTGCAACTTTTAGCCGGACAGAGCTAAGACTAAATCAGCTAGCTAGCAACAGCCTGGTACGCCGTGGTTACAACCTGCTCGATTTATTCATTCTCTGCTGTTGCGGGCTGCATTTCAGGGATTTCTCTTTAAAAAGCAGACTTTTTACAGTTGGTAATTGTTAATCTTCACCACTCGCAGACAGCTCAGCTGTCTCTTGCACCACACTGGCCTCTGGAGGCACTTGATGTGCACTATATGCAAAAAGTCTTTCGTGCAGCCTCTCCAGTATGAGGTCAATAGAAAGCTGATGGTATTGAAAATTATACTCTCTGGGTTTTTTAAATACCCTGGTATACCGTAATACCATGGTACCCCTCTTTTCAATGATCAAATCAAATTCCTCCCAAACTTATATATTGCCTGCCTATCCTGTTTGCAGTACATCACAATATTGAAGCCTGATACTCTCTAAATGCTGTTTCATCTGGACTTCAAACAAACATGAAAAAGTTTATTAATCAGTGAGAGTCAGAGGTGTAGATAGGTGTGTTTTTTTTAACTTAAGTGCAAGTGTCCCCTTGCTTCCAGACCTTACCAATAGTAAGCTCAACCAATCACGTCCTGACTCACACATTTGCTAAAATGTAGAACTATTTGTTTAATAAGAAACAAGGTCACACTCTGGAGTCTGGAGTGATCTCTTCAAATGCTTCTACGGTTTTCAATTTGTCCAGCTTCCGATAGAATTGACTTCTCAAAAATATTCTGTATTTAAAGTGATTTAAAATGTAACAGATTTTACACATCCTTATCGGACATTCATATAAGACACTAAACAAATTTAAAACAGCCCTCACATGAATGTGTCTTGCTTACAGTACAAACCATAAATACATTCAGTTAATTAAAGGTTAATTAACATGCATGATTCAGCCTTGTGCTGTAGGGTTTAGGGTCAGAGAGTATTTTGCATAACATTTAAAATGTGTATCATCGTTTGACATACTAGAAATCCAGTGCCACAGCATATTTTCTAGGTTTAGTATGAAATAATCTGGGATAAAATGGATTTGATATTGTAGGTGGAGATTACCAAGATATGTCATCACCCACCACAGTTCTTAGTAGTACTTAACTGAAGCATATTTCTGTAGCTGGTGTCGAGTTCTGAGTCCATAATCAGACATTTGTCTTTTATTTAGGTCACAAGCAGATTCCAATTCAACACGTAACTTCAAAGACATCACCACCTTCACCAAGATCCTGGACAGTCTGCTGGATGGATATGACAACAGATTGAGACCTGGCCTGGGAGGTAAGACAAGGAAGATCTTTCACATACTTGTGCATGTGCACCAGTAAATAGGTTCAACAGTGAGTTAATATTGCACTGTCATAAAGCTCAGGGGGACTGGAGCAGATTCCAAAATAAATGGTCAAAATTGAAGCAGCAGAGAATTCTGACATTTATTATGAATCAGACCACTAAAACATTGCATCCTACATTTCTCATAATGCTGTTGACTCTTCCTGTAACATATTCTCATACAACAGTTCATATGAACTTAGTCTCGCCACCAGATAATCAGAGATCTCTGCCTTCTGATAGTCTGGGGACACTCCTTTCTAAAGTGTGTTTAACACACCGGAGAAAACGGCCGGCAACAAAGCAACGCCTCTTGCATATTTGAAAAGGACACGCCCTCCTGGAAATGTGCACTCTCCCTTTTCTTGTCCGCAAGGAAACAAACACACAGAGAGAGCTTGAAAATGGATGCCGAGAGATTTAACTCCGTTTTATCAAACATGTGCTCAGTCCACAAGACTGTGGAAATGAAGGACTTACAGCGACTTTGTTTAAAACTTTTAACGCAGTGGGACTATGTTTACGAGCACAAGAGTTTAGTGAGCCACCGAAGGACCGCCCTGCGGATTTACTATTAGTTCTGCAACATAGGGAGTTTTTTTAAACTCTGAAATTGTATCCGCCCATCTAAACACAAAATCAGGGAGAAAGACATCAGTCTTTAGTTAAGCAAAGCATCTAAAGACTGACTTGTGAGTCTAATATGAATTAGTGCCCCACTAATGATGTTATGTAGTTAATATAAAGTTACATACCTAATATAAATTTACTTTGTTTAGTCAAATGAAGTTACTTTTGTTAGGTTTAAGAAAAGAAACATGGTTGGTTGTCTTTACATTTGGGCAAGTATGTTTATAGTATGTAGGAAAGGTTAAGGCAAGTACATTTTTTGGATATGTTATGGTGAGTAAATTTACATAGGTCAGATTCAGGCAAGTAAAGTTACTTACGATAGGTTTACACAAATAAATGTACAAGGTTTAGCTTTAGGCAAATACAATAACCTGGGATAGACTTAGGCAAGTAAATGTATGTATATTAGATTCAGGCAAGTAAATCTACATAGGTTTGGGCAAATAAGTAGTGGTCAGTAATTGCAAGAAGTACTGCTTACAAACTGGTCTTCTGGGGAAAAGTTCTGTGTTGTTTGACCCATCCATCACCCCAAATGGTCTTTTTACATTGACTTTTGGTCTTTATAATACCTTCTTTATTTTCTACTCCTGTCAGCGCATTGGTCAAGTGATTATGTGGGCTATACACAAATTACGGGATAATAGTTACGTGGGTTATATATGAATTGCTGGCTCATGGTTACGTGGGTTATATACACATTCTAGTGCATTACTTTTTGAATGTATACGTATGAACAGTGTATGAGAACAACCTGCTTCCTACCTGGTAAATACCTTCATCTTGTCATACCTGCAGTTGTGTGTTAGACAGTCTGTTATGAATTTGACCAGGACATGTTGTCTTGAGTTAGAAATGAAAGATTAATGACAAAATTAAAAAGTAAAGTGGAAGCTTGTGTGCTCAGAGACAGTGGGTGGATCTTTGGGCATGCATACATACTAGTACTCACTGTGGTCTAGACGGAGTCAGTAGACGTAATTGATGCAATTAATGTTTTTTTCATCATTGATTAATGTACTGTCTATTTACGCAGTCAGCTGATCAGCTGATCAGTTTTATATCAGGTTTATAAAATGTTATAAATAAATAAATTGTAAAATATAAAATTGTAAAAAGAAATAAAATATCTCACAGCGCCAAAGGTGATATCTTCATGTCTAGTTTGTCCAACCAATGGTCCAAAGCCAGAGATACTTACTTTAAAAAACAGAAAAAAGAATTCAATGGTTACAATTGCAAGCCTGAACCAAAAAATTGCTTGAAAAATGACTGACAAAAACATATTCCAAAACAGTGTTGATAGACTGCATCTACTTTTGTTTCAGGTTTACTTGAGTGCAATGTCACTTCAAATACCATGAATTCTCAGTTAAAAGGCAAAACATTGAGTATGCTTGTATTATGATATCAATAATACAGCGGTGTCAGTGGTGTAGTGGTAGTTGGTGGGATAGGTGTACTACTGGGTAGATGGGTAGGTTACCAAGGAGGAAGTGAGTATACTCCTTTATATTTCAGTGTTTTTTTGGCTGACAGTTGGGTATACTGTAAAATTCCAGAAAGAAGTGGGTATACCCCATATACCTACACTTTCCCTCTGCTGCACCACTGAATAGTGAGGTCATTCCATAATCACCACTGTGCTGCTCTCTTTTCAACTACTGTTTTCACTCATTTTCAGTCATGTCAGTGTTGTCTTTTTTTTTGTTTAATTGCTGTTAAGCTCTCAGTGAAACAAAATAAATTTGGCAGATGTTTCTGATTAAAAGCCTTCAAGGTAAAGGTGGGGGTCCTTTAATGTGACATATCTGCACAGGGAGTGTTTTATTGCAAAGTAGAATTGCATGGAATTAATCTGTGGGTCACAGCAGTATTTCTGTTACAAAGACAAACCCTGAGCAGAAATTGATGAGTATGACATCAGTGGTGGATTAAGTGTTGTGAAAATCTACAGTAAACTGAATATATTAAGACAATACTTAAGCATGGAGGAAGTGTTGAGTTTGCATGAATAACAAATACTATAAAACAGGAGCAGATCAGAAATCAGGATGACTTCTTACTACGATATGATAAAATTGTCTCATAGAACAGCAGAATTCAGAAACAGTGGCACAACCAGGATTGTTGCGGAAGTCAAATGTTAACTGGTATTATGCCTGGTACAAACTACACGATATCAGCCCAATTGTAGCCCGGCGCAGCAACGTATGGTGTCGGCATGGATCGTGAACGACAAAGAGTGTCATACGCGATAATCCATCGTTTCATCTTGTGTAGTGTGCCATAGTAGACAACAACCGACACCACGTCTGGGACGCCTTAGGATGTTCCAACAGAAAGTCTGGCATGTTTGATTTTCTTTTTGTCGTTCACGACTGCTCCCATCACAGCTGTCACTTTGACCAATAGTTAGCATCAAGCTAGCAAACAATGTTATTTCTTCATAATGGAGACGGACATAAAGTAAGAAAATTAAAAAATAGTGGCTTTTACTTACCACAACTGCAGAGGCTATCAGCTTCATTTCAAACAGACCACCTTATAAACGGGCCGTTTATTATTATTCCCTCTGTATTTTTATTTATTTATTTATATATTTATTTATTTATTCATTTATTTATATTTATATATTTATTTTTTATTTGTGCTCCTGTTTGCTCTGATTAAGTTAATGCATCGTGCCGTCACTTACTGTATTTGTTTCAAATTAAAAGCTCCTTATAACTTAGGTTGAGAGAATCCCTTTATTTCTAAACAGACTTTTATTGTGAAACATTTGCAAGAACTTGTTGTGGAGGATTCAGTGACTTGTATGTTTGCGTACAGTTCTTCAAATTAGCTCCTGCCATCTGGTAGTGCTTTTTTACATTACTACAACAACATTTTGGTTGGCACATGAACAGACACAGTGACTGAAATAATAGTAAAAGTAATAAAAATAGGACAAGAATAACCTGATGACATCACACACGTTGTGAAAGAAGATCAGGGATAATTGGTGTGGACCATCGTGTAGTGTGTCATATCTGTCAGCCAAGTCAGATGGGAAAGTGACTGTCAGACAGAAATGTCGTGTTGTGAACCAGGCATTAGTCTCTGCGAGACTTTCAGTGGCCCCATCTGGCCACCTAAGTGAAAAATTTTTCGGGGCGCGATTGATTAGTTGTTTAATACATCTGACCAATCCAATGCAAAGCTCAGCCGTAAAGGCTTCTGTTATGATACTGTTTCTACCAGTAGCAGTACTACCAATTTACTGCACCACCTCAAACAGAGGCATGCTGCCGAGTGGGAGAGGTGTTGCTCCCTACGAAAATATCCCTATTCAAGTGCTGGAATTTGTTATTTACGTGACACGTACGTGAATGCAACACAGGCTCAGCTCCATAGACTGTGTGGTCAGTGCCGTGCTGCGGGTTCTGGCCGGGCTCAGTTATAATTGTCAGTCAGGAAAATGCGGCCCGGGCCACGCTCTTGTGTGTTCACCTTAGGGATGTCCCGATCCAGCTTTTTCACTTCCGATCTGATACCGATATTACAGCCTTGAGTTTTGGCCGATACCGATACCAATCCGATCCAAGCGCGTATTATACATATTCACTTATTTTGTTGTCAGTCATGTTAGAAAAGGTTTGATCAAGCAATATTACTCTAACAAGAACAACTACTTAATCGGGTTAGTTAGAATGATCCACAACAGTTGGTATGAGAAACTGACCTGTTTATTGTTAACAGGGTTAAATAAACAAACTTTAAATTTGAACATTAACATTAAATAAAAAATATAGCTGGTTTGCTTTGGCCCCTTAATAAATAGAAAATAGATCAACACAAGAAATCTTTAAAATGTCTAACAATGAAATTAAAATAGCAGGAAGACTCCACACACTTGTGCTTTGCTCCCCTAATAAATAAATAAATAAAGATTAACACCACAAGACATTGTTGACATTTAACAAACAATGCAGCCTTTCCTTTTCAGTTATTTTAGTAGTGTTTTTGTAGTCCATCCATGGCTCCAATTTCACTAACTGTGCCCAAAACAGTGCCATCAGTGCTCTTTACTTAAACAGTAAGAGTGTAAACCTGTTAACTAAGTTGACCGCTACTCTTCCTATCCTCCCTGTGTGTCTGCCGTCTGCTTGCTGGCCTGGTGGATTGATAGTAAGAGCTGGAGCGGATCACTGGAATGGACTGCTTGACTCTCGGAGCGCTGTGCTGGCTGGAAAACCTGGAGCGGATTCTGTGAAAAACTGGATCGGAGTTCTTGGATCGGCATTTTTCCATGCAGTCCGATCCGATGCCAATGC